TTGAGGGCATGAAGTGACAAAAACATTCAACATTCCTCCATTAAAACCCATTGTAATTTCAGGCAGATATTTCCTCACAGCAGCAGCTGTACACCTTTAGTTAAACTGCCAAAAAGGCCACATTATTAACCCGAAACTACACATAAATTACACTTCAGATACTCAACTTCCTTGACATGCTTCACGTTTTGAAATTTCACAGATATCTGTTACGGTTCTTCCACAAAACGTTTCACATGCAAGAGGTTTATCTCTCATTCAGAACAATGGAAACCTGTGATCTCTGCACACCTCGTTAGTTCAAATATAAACACCTGTGTCATGGAACACGATGATGTCATCGCTCCAACTGACATGCTCAGAGCAGCAGACTTCAGATAAAGGTTAATGGTCCTGCCCTCAACAGCTCTACGTCAATTATGGGGTGTCATCTTCATATAACGAAGGTCAAGAGAAGAGAGAGAGAAGAGAAAGAGGGCGATCAAGAGAAGAGAGAGAGAAGAGAAAGAGAGAGAAGAGTAATGTAATAAAACACGGTTTTCTCATAACTTCAGTGAAAATNACAGAGGGACCAGGAGCCAGAGCCCTGCCCTTTTGTTTTCAACAGGGCAGATGTGTGTAAATCCTTTCAAAGGGTTAACCCACACAAGGCTCTGGACCTGATGGCATCCCTGTCCGTGTTCTCAGGGTGTGAGCAGTTCAGCTGGCAGAGGTGTTCACAGACATCTCACCACTCGCCATGAAACACGATGTGGCTGTAAGTCCAATGGACACGGTCCAATCGTCCCCCAGTCTTCACTTGTATATCACCGGTCCATGCCTCAACAGCTCTACGCCAAATCTGAGATCTCACCATATGCCGTTTCCATAGAAACGCATCCCTCGCCATAAAACGTGATGTCGCTATAACTCCTATGAAAATGTTTAAAAAGTGCTCAAACTTCACATTTGTGCTAACAGTCCAGCCGTGAAGACATCTACGGGACAGTTTTGAGATTTCTTCAAATGCCGTTTCCATGGCAACAAAATGCTCTCCTTGAAACACGGTTTTCAAAAAACTTCAGTGAAAATACTCCAAACAGCCCAAAACTTCACAGGTTTGGTAACGATGCAGCCATCAACGCATCTAAGCGTATTATGGAGTGTCGTCAAATGCCGTTGCCATGGCGACAGACAACTAGCCATGAAACAGGATGTCGCTGTAAGTCCAATCGACACGGTCCAATCGTCCCCCAATCTTCACTTGTATATCACCGGTCCATGCCTCAACAGCTCTACGCCAAATCTGAGATCTCACCATATGCCGTTTCCATGGAAACGCATCCCTCGCCATAAAACGTGATGTCGCTATAACTCCTATGAAAATGTTTAAAAAGTGCTCTAACTTCACATTTGTGCTAACAGTCCAGCCGTGAAGACATCTACGGGACAGTTTTGAGATTTCTTCAAATGCCGTTGCCATGGCAACACAATGCTCGCCTTGAAACACGGTTTTCAAAAAACTTCAGTGAAAATACTCAACAGCCCATGCAGCCATCAACGCATCTAAGCGTATTATGGGGTATCGTCAAATGCCGTTGCCATGGCGACAGATCATTCATTCAGTCATCAAGTTAGTTCAGAAGTTTGGAGTTTAAATATTCTGCTGCTTTTCCAAGCCTTTTTACTTTCTTTTCTTCTCTCATCACACATTCAAGCCCCCAGTGTTCATGTATCATTTCAATCTAAATTCTTCACTTTCTTCTTACACATTACATTTCAGCATAGCAGTTTAGCGTCACAATTTCAGCATAAAGCATTCCCATTAGCAATTTCTTCAGGAATTGCATTCTCTAGTTAGAAATATACTATACTTTTTTTTTTGCATATAATATACAATTATTTTCAGATTTTTGTCAACTATTCTTTTATATTCCTGACATAGTCTATGGCTCTTCTCAACATATTATTCTATTCTATTTCATAGTATTATTCTTCAACATACTATGCTTCTGTTAGATCACTCTTATTTGTAATGCCACTTTTGAAGGTGTCCATCTTGTCTGGAATGAGTGAATACATGTGTTAACAGAAAGTGATTTTTAATCTATAGAATTAACAGCACTGTTTTTCTAGATAATCACACGTTGCATCCCTAATATCTTCTGCACATGATGTCAATTTCCCAGAATCCCCAGCGGTGGGTCAGAGCTGCCCTGCCGACCCGGAGGACAATGAGCTCAGCACGGTGGAAACCTCGGAGGAGGAGATGTTCGCCAACGGAGAATCCACCGCCGAGGGCCAGCAGGACGAGCAGCTGCGGGAGGCCATGAGGTCAGAGGTCACACTCTGATGATGTCACCCTGCTGGCACCAGACAGCGTCATGACAACACTCATCTCCCTGTTTTACATCAATATCACACCTGCATGACTTTATTTGAGTTTTTAAATCTCCTTCTCTTGTGTTCCTCCGTCAGTCCGTGCTTCAGCAGCTACATCCCCCTGATGAGGCTGGTGCAGTCGGTGCATCACAGCAAGAGGAGAGCGGGGGGGGTCCTGAGGGAGGGCTGGCTGCTGCACCACACCAACACCGACACACTGGTGAGACACACACACTATACCTGCTGTGGATATGTGAACTAGGGAAGTGTGTGCTTGGGTCAAGACACTACACCAGTAATACACAATACAACTCAAAGTGGCAGATACTTTTTAACAATGAACCTTTTCGCATTTTCCGTGCACAAAGTATGAGAAATATGTGTTTGTCAACATCACTTAGAAATGAGGTTTAGCTGCTCACACTATTTGATGCCAGTCCAAATCTCTTATTTTACAGTCATACATAAATGTGAGCTCTAAATGAAACAAGTGGACCACTCTGACAGAAGGTCGGAGAGACTGCTGTAATGCGTCACCGTGATCAAAGCCATTAACCCTCCACATACTGTGTGTCTCTCAGAGGAAGCGCCACTACTGGATCGTGGACTGGAAGAGCATCACTCTGTATCAGAACGAGAGCAGCACCAAGTTCTACAAGGTACAGAACTGAGCAGGGATGTATTCAGTGGGATCAGCCTTTAATCCCACTCGTAGCTTGTGAAAGAAATCAATGAATTCAAATGGATCCCTAACCCTTTGAACAATAATGACTTAGTTTATTGGGTTAGTGATTTATCAGTATCTGTCAAACTCTGTCTTTCTTTTGGAGTCTTTCCGTTTTGTAATTTATTTATGGACCTCTCTCCTTTCATTGTTCAGTCATTACACCAAAGTCTTATCCGATATCTAATGATATCAATGAAGGTTTCCAGAGCCCAGAGGAGATCATACTAAGGATGGAGATAATAACCCGATGTGTTCCTCCTGCAGGAGATCAGTCTCTCGGAGGTGCTGCAGGTCCGAGGCCCCGCCCACCTCTCCCTGTCGCCAGGCAACAGCGAGCACACCCTGGAGGTGGAGACGGCGGCGCTGGTGTTCTGCGTGGCGGCCGGAGACGAAGCGTCCGTCTGGGAGAGCGCCATCCGCCAGGCCCTGATGCCGGTGCAGAGCAGCGTGGGGGGGGGGGAGGAGCAGGGTGAGAGAGGGTCATTATGGGATGTAACAAGAACATACAGCCTTTAGAGTTTGTGTTACAAAGATGATGTTTTTCCTTTATTAATATCACTCAAAATATGTGTTGACTTGAAACATAAACTCAAAACTAATCCCATTGAAATTCAGATTGTATTTCTTAAGTTAAAGTGAATAGTGAACAATATCAGTTTTTAAAACTAAAATATGGTTAAAACCAGTTAAACCCCACATCTTGCAAGAAACAGCGTCTGAAGGCTACTTACCATTTAATAAACTATGAATGTGTCATACTCACTTAACGGGAAGAAACTCAGCTTTCAGACAATATTAACCATTTTTAGCTAAACGAAACATAAGGGTAATAACAAAGGCTCTGAATTAGCACAGAACTCACGTTACAATACCCTTATTACTTATCGGATCTGCACAAACAAGATATCGATTAGCAAGCTGAGATTCCACAGATTTCAGACATATAAGTGTCATCACTGAGCGATCAGAACTCGCAGCGAAACGACAACAAACAAAATAATTAGCTTTACGGAGCCAAAGCGGCTAAAAACTTCTTACCTTTGTTGTTTTCTGATCAGAAGTTGTGTTGAGACACTGCTGAAGGTTAATCCAATGTGTCTGAAATGATTACTGATAATCCATCATTTTTATATCAATTTCATATTAGCTGCTACCGATATCTTCCGGTTCCGGGGCATTCTGCCTCATTTCATTTCACCAATGGGTAATGTTTAGATGGATTTTAGGAACTTCCCCTCGATTCTATTGGCTCGGTTAAAAAGAGATTATTAATTTGCCCCTTTTTAGAAGGGAAGTTATGGTCAATTGTTCTGGGAAATTTCATTTTCGAGTCTGAGACCTGAAAAACAGGCTCAGGGCTTAACAGGTTAAAAATATGATTTCTAATGAGCCAGACAACTTTAAAACAAACATGAAACAAAGGAATAACTTCTTAAATATATTTTTTCTTTGATTACAGATAATGATTCCCGAAGAGACAGCATGGTAAGGAACAACTTGTATACTTCCACATTTGTATTATTCATAATTAATCACAGTGAATTCATGGTTCATACCGTAGTGTGTAGTGCGGTGATAATGTGTGTGTGTGTGTTCAGGACATCAGCTCGGTGTATCAGATCTCCACAGACGAGGTTCTGGGCTCGGGACAGTTTGGAGTCGTTTACAAAGGTGATTGAATGATCACAGGCTTTAAAGTATTGCTATTTAATCAACTAAAACCCCCCTTTTTTCTGCTAAAATCTGTGTAATTTTGACTAACAAGAGAAAAATGTAATAGTTATTGTTTTCCAGAATGATTTCCATGGAAGACTTATTTTAAACCCGATGTAAAAAAAGATTAAAAGTTATATCAGTGACCTATTTCTCCCTCCTCAGGCACTCACAGGAAGTCGGGTCGGCTGGTCGCCATTGGCGACCAGCCGACCCGACTTCCTGTGAGTGCCTGAGGAGGGAGAAATAGGTCACTGATATAACTTTTAATCTTTTTTTACATCGGGTTTAAAATAAGNGTGTGCCTTGGCAGTCTCAGGGAGAAATAAGTCACTGATATAACTTTTAATCTTTTTTTACATCGGGTTTAAAATAAGTCTTCCATGGAAATCATTCTGGAAAACAATAACTATTACATTTTTCTCTTGTTATTCAATTTTACATAGATTTTAGCAGAAAACAGGGGGGTTTTAGTTGATTAAAAAGCAATACTTTAAAGCCTGTGATCATTCAATCACCTTAAACCCCCCTGTTTTCTGCTAAAATCTATGTAAAATTGAATAACAAGAGANGGCTCCCTACCTCCTTCCTACACCTTCCCCTCCGCCGTGGCCTGTGCGAGCTGGGTTAGGAGCCGGTCTAAATTTGGTCATGCATGGCAAAGGAGGCGAGCACCTGCTGGGACCCCGGCTTCTCCGCCGCAGACCCTTACATCAAATTACACCGGGGCCGGGGCATTCCTGTCACTCCTCACCGCTCCACTTCACTGCCTCGCTCTTTCTCTCTCTGCCACTGTCTTTCTTTGGCTTTTTAAATTCTGAAATTCACTTTGAATCGAATTAAGTTTTGCAGACGGGAATATTTGTTGTTAAAGTTTGTGTAAGAAATACATTTAAAAAACATGCCATGATTCATCGGCTATTCAGATCCCACTGCAGCAACACTACCTATACTGCAATCTAAAAAGACTGTACACACGGATTCTTATGGTATGATTTGTTGTATTAGTATGTTCAAATCTAAAGACTGGTTAAACAGTTAATTTTCATCAGCCTATAAAAAGGCAGTTTAATTTCTAAAAGGACATACAGGTAGTAGAATAACATCTACAATATTCAAAGGCAATGAGGTGGCGGACACTAAGGAAGGAGAGTGTAAGAAATGAAGCACTAATGCAAATAATGAACTTTTATGGAGATGAAGTGCTTACCTTACCTGGTCACGATAACCTCATCAGAGCACCGTTAGCTTTTTTGCGAATTTAGATACTTAACAGTACTACTTGTAGTTGCTTACCATTAATTTCTTTATATGAAACTATTTAATTCTGTATTCAGACATATTCAAGTTTCTCAAATCGTCTATTATCTAGAAAACGTCCAAGTAGTACTGCTTTTCTTCCAACTATCAGTCCAAACTCAAGTCCTTTAGTTTAATATTGCATGAGTTATGTTGTTAATTTTCTCCTTTAAACACACACTGTCTTTCTCTCTTCTCACATTCAGTCACTCGTGGGGTTTCTCTCTGTCAGAAACCCCTTCCTCTCTTCCCGTCACCATCCCTCTTTTGTCTGTCTCTGGTGCTTCTCTGTCCACCGTGTTCTTCCACGGTCACACTCGAGTGCAGGCGATGGACACACAGATCTAAACGCACACCCACACACTGTACAAGGTTGCATACATTTAGTTTGAAATGTGCTCTGCTGTAATGGAAAATGTATGCTCTTACCTACGGAGCACAGAGCGTGTACAGTTGCTAATTTATACATCTGTCTCTCTCTCCTCACTCCGCCCACACCATCATCTGTAGTTAGTTATTCAGCTCATGTACTTATTCTGCGCCCACACATCCTCCGAACCCTGGCGAAGTTTCGTCTCTCCAATGGCAGCTCTTAAACACACTCACTCTGCTGAATGTGCACACACACATCCCATACTCACATTTGAAGCTAAACACCATGAAAGCCTCTCAAAATGCCATTCAGAGATTGATTGAATGGCCTGATGGAACCAATTGAATTGTCCCTGACGTGCACGGCCGACCATTAGGCAATTTTCCAGACAGACCAAAAGCAAGCACTCAGTGGCTAAGAGCCATTTACATCACTGTCTGCTTTGTGCCCATTACACACAGCAGCACCTAATGAACGCTTGCTTTCTAAAAGCAGAGATCTGGCTTTAGAGAGAGGCAGCGGCTACTCTAGCTAACTGCTCGACACAACACATCAGGCTGAGCGACAAACTCCAGGACCTTCAGGCTGACTAGTTCTCTTAGTGACAGAAATACATTTGGAGAAATGGCTGGAAGCATCGCTGCGATGCCTTTTCAGTTTGAAGTCTACTGTACTATAACTTGGCAATTCAGCTGACTTCAGCATAGCTCAGCATGTTCTGATGTTTGAAATGAATATCAAATCGTGTCGAAAAGAAAAACAATAAGATCTCATCGAGCTGTCATCCTACGCCTGTGGCAAGACACGAGCGTAGACAAGACATGATTTTCTAAAAAAGACAATAAACAAACTGAAAGCATTAAACGGAAGTCAGTTTTGCGTGTTCAGGATCGTTGAGTCAGCCGTCGATCAGACGTAAGTGTCTCAGCGTTCGCTCTGTCGGCAGCGATGATAAGGTCACAGATCGAGGAGGACAGTTGATGCCTGGCGAAGCATTTTTGACCCGCTCTGAAAAGGGGAAACATCACTGTGTGTGTGTGTGTGTGTACATTGTATACATACAATTTAGAAATATTTGTGGCTATTTTACTTGCAGCCTTTAGTTCAGGGGTCTCAAACTCAAGGCCCGGGGGCCAAATCCAGCCCGCGACTTCATCTTATGTGGCCCCGCAAGGGCTTGCAAAGAATATAACACGTTTATTATACGGTTACATGCCACTTTACAGAAGCAGGTTGCCCATAAACTACATGTCCCACAATGCATCTTGTTCTGTGACATGCGCACTGAAGAGTCTTGCAATTATTTGCCCTGGACTTCTGCTTTCAGACGTAGTTAATTACTAAGTTATTATCCTATCCGTTTATATTCCAATTCAGAGGCAATAATGTAATATAATACATTATTTTATATATATATATATACTATATATTTATATAGTTGCAACCGGCCCTTTGAGTGCAACCTTTATGCGAATGTGGCCCGTGATGAAATTGAGTTTGACGCGCCCTGCTTTAGTTACTATAACCCTTTATGAACACACAGGTCAAAATAAATGTCGTTGTACTTTTGTATGAGGGACGAATAGAGATGTATTCTATGGTGTGTTTGTCCAGGATGTTTCCCTCTCTGTGTGTGTGCTGTAGCAGCTATTGTTTCCTGCGCTGGTGTGTGAAATGTATTTGTCGCGTTGCGGTCAGAGGTGACACCGTCTCTCTCTCTCTTCCCCCCTCAGACCTTCACAGCTTGTTGTAACTCCCACTTGTGAGCAAAAGCCGGGGACAGCTGATCGCAGAACAGTTGAAGAGGAAGGATTTAAAATGGCCTCAAACTCATGCTGCTGCTGGAGCGTCATATCAGGGTGCCGATCTCATCAACCCAACGCACACATTTATCGGCTACATACTGAGTCACCGTCGATGATTTCCTGGTTGGAAAACTTTTTGTCTAAATCTGGTTTTTTATCGTTTTTCTGCGTTGTACACAAGGCACATTAGATTATCTGACACTTTCGTTGTAGATGGCGATACACAGATCATTTGTCTCTCATTATCTGTGCCTTTTCCCCCGTTTATATCCATGCTATCCATCAGTTTAGCAGCGTTTTCTATAACTCTAGTAACATCTTTTACTCATTAGCATAGTTTCTAGAAGATACAGGGTAACCAGGGGGGCACCTGTCAAACCCTACTTATTTGGGAAGTGAAAATGAAATTGAAATGTACCACACAGGACTGACTAACTTGTATCACCCATGCCATGATAGCCTAACCAGCTTAAAGGTGGATCACCTATCATCGCTATAATTTGAATATATAGCTGTAGGACGCATACCCGTATATAAGGCATATTTGATACTTTTTATTTTTTCAAAATACCAAACACATCATGCATTTTAGCCATTCCTCATTTCGCCCTCAATTTAACACTGTCTTTGCATTGGGCTGATCAGTGAGAACAGCACCATCTACAGGCCTGGCATATGTACTAACAGCGTCTCCAGCGCTTTCGAACGCCAATGTCCGTGGGCTGTCTCCTCCTGATTGGTGGAGTTGGGCCCAATTAGCCGTAGCGCACTTCTGTGACGTCACAGAAGTGCTTCAAATCATACCATCAGTCTGCTATCAGATCCGTTGCAAGCCCCCCCTTTTTTAAGAGATTTGGGTATGAGGAAAAATAGAGAGGGTTGTGTGTTTTCTGACCACTTGCGTGAGTTCCCTGAACACCGGGGGGACACATATTTCATGTTATTAAAAGACGTACAAAAGTGCATTTTGCATGATAGCGTCCCCTTGTAAATAGTAAGCTTGGGTGGGTATACAATCTGTTTTTCTTGGAGCTTTACATACAAAAATAGATTCATCCAATCTACAAACCGTTTCTGAATATGATAATCATTAGGGCTTTAACTAATGACTATTGCCGATATTAATTAATCTGCCAGTTTATTCTACTGTCTAAAATGTCAGCCAAGTTGTATAAAAAACACATCCATCAGTTTAAAATGCAGCTCATCCTTCCCATTGAAGAAGCAGGAGCCAGTAAAGTGTCCATCCCCATAATAGTGTTGCCTCTGCTAAATGGATTGTGTTTCTCTTCTCTTTAGGTGAGAGGTGGCCCAAAACCCGACAAAGGCAAGGATGCGTTTCCACAAGATCGCCAACGTGAACAAAGCTCTGGACTTCATCTGCCAGCAAGGGCGTGTGAACTGGGTGTCCATCGGGGCCTGAGGGGTGAGAGTCCTGCCTCTTCTCCCGCTGCGACCTATTCTCAATCAAATATTCCCAAGGTCACAGCGGATTTGCCATTTCTAAACCTATTTTTGAGCTCCAGATGGTCACAGCGTCGGGGAGGCGTTCAGATAAGAGCCCGCAATACACAAGAGCCTGTCAGCGCCTGTTCTTTTCATTTACTCTAAGAGACAACTCGTTTATTAATATATCAAATCACTTCCTGCCCTTTCTTTGACTAATTTGTTGTGGAATACATAATTCAAATGATTTAAAAACACTCAGTGTGTAACATGTTATTACTTCAAAGATGAATGATTGAATATGGTTTTAAAAGAGACCCACAGGGGAATAAACGAAAGAGGAGCGGAGGATACTGTTGCGTGTTAACTCAGGTCATTCCAAATAAAACAAACGGTAACTGAAATTGGAGTGGTTTCTTCAGTAGCAATGAAAACGTTCGACTTTCACGTTTCAAAAATGAATATTTAACGCTCAGATTTAGTCTCACCGAAAACGTCCACCCGCGAGTTTAGTCAGTTCGAACGTCCAAACTCCGAAAAACACATTCACACCGCAGCACCTTCCAAAGCCACTGAGAGAGTTTTCAATGGTGACTCCAGTTTCTTCTCCTCTCTAATGCAGTCAAGAATATCTCTTTTGGAGCCCTGAGGCCTCGTGAAGTTCAGTTAGTCTCCTCAGCAGCAGCAGCAGACTCACAGGCCGGACTGTTCAACCTGTTTCAGTAGCAGACTTCACATCCTCTAACCCTCACAACCCAGAGGGCCTGCCCTACGCTCTTATATCATGTGTCCTTATTGCCCCTTATGGATTATCTGCTGTGTGTTTGCAGAAAATTTACTCGACGGCAATGGGAAGATGACTCTTGGTATGATCTGGACCATCATCCTGCGTTTTGCCATCCAGGACATCTCTGTGGAAGGTGTGTGTGTGTTTACATTTAACAAACACAACTTGAAGTAAAATGTTGTTTCTGTTAAATATGCTTATTACCCTAACCCTAAGAAGCATGTGTTAACAAGGGAGCTTAACGGCCCATCCACACAGCGTGCGTTGAAGCTTGCCGGCGGGCGTGTCTGAAACTCGACCAACAACCAATCACATGAATCTCCCGCCCCTGACACACAAGCAGCGGTTTGATTGGCTAGAGCTTGCACTGGCATATGATTCGATTGGCTGACGCTTCTGCCGAGGTTTCAAAAATGTAACATTGCTCAACTTTTGCAGTGAGGCACGCCAGCAAAGCTCCGCTTCCCACAATGCAGTTCCGCGAAAAGTGACGTCACCCCATTCAAAGTGAATGGTGAAGCTTTCAGTGCTGGTAGATTTAGTTTTGTTACTTTTTGACAAACCCTGGCTAGCTCTGTTTCCATTCTTTATGCTAAGCTATGCTAACCAACTGCTCTTGTTTAATGTGTTGCCATCAGAGTGGTTTCATATTCTCATAAAACTCCTAGCAACAATGGGAATGAGTGTCTTTTAACAAAATGTCAGACTGTTCCTTTGAACTGTTATGCGACACTTTTAATAACTACATCAGGCCCTTTCCACAAACACTACTGAAGCTGACTGACGATAATCTCCATGTCGGTCACATGAGCACAACATACAGATCGTCTTTGTACTGTCAATCACTATGTCACACTAATAAAGTGGAGGGAAAACAAGTTAGCCGTTGATCTCTTTAGAAAAATACACTGAATTCTCCTTTTGTCTCACACTAGAGTTTCACACATCGGTCACAGTAAATCCGATCCATCTAACCCACTCCTCTGAACTACGTGTAAATGTATAAAGACTGCGACCTTGTTCGCTCTGTCCTGACCCTCAGTCCATCTTCTTGAACCCTCCCTTCATGGCTCCTGCTTCTTAATATCTCCTGCTGTCAAATATAGACGTTGCTATCTAACCTCTTCTCTCCACTCGAGCAGTAAACACAATCTGCTGTAGCTTGACTCTAAACGCCAAGTTTGTAAACAGACCTTTTTTGAACCCGATCGTGATCATTATGAAGGTTTCTTACATCCCCTTCCCACATTACATCGTCTCTCAAAATGCCTTCTATTGCCTCCTCTCTTTTCCTTTCATCTGTGCCACAATGCTCACCATCTCTCCCCCCCCTTTTTGCATTTCCCAGAGACCTCTGCTAAGGAGGGTCTGCTGCTGTGGTGCCAGAGGAAGACCGCCCCCTACAGGAACGTCAACGTGCAGAACTTCCACATCAGGTGGGTCGACGACGCCCGACCGTGGCACCAGCATGGCACTGCATCCACCTTTCACCAACTCTGTGTTCTCCTGAAAATACAGATGCTTACCTTTTGATATGCCTCCTGTTCCTGCTTTGTCCTTCTCCATCCTCCTTTGTCTCACCAACCCTCTCTGAAACTCTCTTTCCCCACTTCTTATTCTTTCTCTTCCTCCTCTTCCTCTTCCTCCTCTTCTCGCGGCTCAGTTGGAAGGACGGCCTGGCTCTGTGCGCCCTCATCCACAGACATAGACCTGACCTCATTGACTACTCCAAACTGAGAAAGGTGCCCTGTCCTTCCTTCCCTTTTTATCCACTTTTCCACGGATTCGTTTGCTTTGTTTTCTCTCTTCGTACTGAACTAAGATGTCTGACACTCCCATCTATTTCCATCTGTTCAAAGAGAAACGTTTCTTTGCATTTCAAGTGACATCCTGGGAGAATGTTCTGCACTATGACCTGAGTGTCTGCAAGATATCTATTTCATGACCCAAGCATAGTGTGATACCAAACGTTGCATTTTCTAATTCACATTCATATCTAATCCACTGGCTCGTATTTGCAGTCACTTACAAGTGCATTTGTTTAGTATAGAGTTCAAAAGGAAACGTCAATACCCGTAGGATTAGAGTTCTCATGTGCTGAAAATGTGAACATTTCAATTTGACCATTTTTTTTTTATTGAGCTGTTGTTGTTGTTTTTTGTAGTCAGGTAGGGAAGTGCAGACATCCTCCGTCCAACATAGTTTTTCAAAAGTGTTTGAAACAGCTGAAGGAAGAATTGAGATTCACACTGAAAGACCACTTGTAATACCGTTTTTTTTAACATTGTTAAATAGATTGTGTACAGTGTCTAGTTTCAGTCCTCAGCGTGAACCCTAGTGTTAGCCATCTTGTATTATTGGCAGTGCAGAGCTACCTGTCTGACAGTGCTCGTGTCTCCCTGCAGGACGACCCCATCGGTAACCTGAACACCGCCTTCGAGGTGGCTGAGAAGTTCCTGGACATCCCCAAGATGCTGGACGCTGAAGGTGAGAGAACCAAATCTCTGTGTGTGTGTGTGTGTGTGTGTGTGTGTGTGTGTGTGTGTGTGTGTGTGTGTGTGTGTGTGTGTGTGTGTGTGTGTGTGTGTGTGTGTGTGTGTGTGTGTGTTAAATGGCTAAGATGACTCGTACGTATAGACAGTAAATCCTAATGTTCTGTACTTAAAGATAATGTATGTTTAAATAAAGAAAATCACCTTCTTAGTTAAATAAATATCAATATCATGTTTTATTAAAATCCAAAGCTGCTTCCTAAAATATGAATATGACTATTTGTGTGATCACCACGGATGACCTTTCTTAAGATTTATATATTATTTTAATATTATCTTTGCTAATTTCCCTCCTCAGATATCGTGAACACACCCAAACCCGACGAGAAGGCCATCATGACCTACGTGTCCTGCTTCTACCACGCCTTCGCCGGCGCTGAGCAGGTCAGATCATACTTTAGTTTCATGTTGTTGTAAAAAATGTTGTAATAAAACACCCTTGGATTTAGTTGATTTCTTTATAAAAGCAGAAAATGATGCATAAATCCTGTCAAGATGATATTTCAGCAGTTCTTAAATACAGTCTTCTGGAGAAATACTAATCCGTGATGTTTTGTAAATGTATATTAATGGATGATTACTCGCTCCCTCAGGCTGAGACAGCTGCCAACCGTATCTGCAAGGTTCTGGCCGTCAACCAGGAGAATGAGAAGCTGATGGAGGAGTATGAGAAGCTGGCCAGTGAGGTGAGACCCCCCCCACAAAAACACCCTCTCTAACAACACAATGATGCACTGCCTTACACTCTCTGATTTAGTTTGTGATCTTGAGCAACTGCAGGCACATCGATAGTGTGATGAGAGTCAAAGTGTAAGTTTAAAACAGCAGATAAGATCAATATGACGAGACACAGACATGCTCATGATTATCAATAACCTGTCTACTATATTAGTAGAGAAACGTTCAACAACAAATTCATCCAAGTGGAAAATACCAAAGCTTGTGACTGGGGTCAAAAAACTCTCACGGTGTTTCAAAGTCTAACATGGACAGGTTCTTTTCTTTATTGATTATTCTGTCGAGATTTCTTTTGATGTATTGACTTTCAATGAATGAAATGTAAAGATTAATAACAGGTAACCATTAGAAGCTTTAAATGTATAATGATGTGATCATTAAATAGGCCTTTAAAACATGAACTTAACAATTCATTCAGAAGTAGTTTCTATGTTTCTTTGAAAATAGAACCTTAAGACTTTCATAACACATTGTGTTTGTGAAACCGGAAACAATGTCCTTGATATTTCAAAAAAGACTTTACTTTGACCACCACTCAGCCTTGAGTGTGCTCGTACATATTCAAATAAACCAGCTGAAAGATATATTAACTTAAGTATTTCAGTTTGTTGAAATAATACAAAATCTCCAGGATATAAAACGTAACAATAGAGACATTAATAATGGTCACGTTCCCCCCCCCCCCAAGCTGCTGGAGTGGATCCGCCGCACCATCCCCTGGCTGGAGAACCGCACGGCGGAGCAGACGATGCGCGCCATGCAGCAGAAGCTGGAGGATTTCCGTGACTACCGTCGCATCCACAAGCCGCCCCGCGTGCAGGAGAAGTGCCAGCTGGAGATCAACTTCAACACCCTGCAGACCAAGCTGAGGCTGAGCAACAGGCCCGCCTTCATGCCCTCCGAGGGCAAGATGGTGTCGGTGAGCACGGAGCATCTTTGTAGATCAACAGGCTTCCAATGTGTTGAAGGGTTTCTACTTCCCGTGTTGCTTTACCCTAAAGCCTGTCAAATCTTTCAAACCCTCTGCTTTTAAGATAACTCGTATAAGAATGTTCTCTACACTTCAGATACAAACTACTCACTCAAACTAAGATAAGAAGGATGGAGAAAGAAAGGGAATACTGAAAAGTGCAGAACATGTTGAAGTCGGCCAATAGAAGCTTCACTTCATTTCCTAATAATACCGCATACTCACACTTCACTCATTTCAAATTCTCCCAAATCTACATAGATATGAAAGTGTTCTCGTACGCTTCATTATTTACATTCTGAACACTTCATTCCCTCCAATAAGTGTCAGCAGAACCTTTGCAAGTCCCTGCCCTCAGTGTGCAGCGATGATAGAGCCTCTCTCTCCTGCAGGATATTGCCAACGCCTGGAAGGGGCTGGAGGGGGTGGAGAAGGGCTACGAGGAGTGGCTGCTGACGGAGATCCGCCGCCTGGAGAGACTCGACCACCTGGCTGAGAAGTTCAAGCAGAAGTGCACCATGCACGAGTCCTGGACCGGAGGTAGGGCCACAGGAAGCTAGACAGAGTTACGCTTTAATAGATCATTACACTTCCTGGCTACGAGGCTGCTCTGCGTTGAACACATTGTGAAAGTCATTGTATAGTTTATTGAAAGATGTTACAAATATTGTGAAAAGACACAGTTCATCCTGTGGAAGAATATAAGAAACTCATCGTATAGCGTCAAAAACAGTTCCAAAGAAAATAAATTAACAACTTATGTTGAAAATATGGAAAAAGTCATATCGGAATATTCGAAAGTAATGAAAATATCTGAAATACGACATACTGTAGTATTTTATGTTAAAAACATCATGAATATATATAAAAAAGTGTTACCATGGTTTGCCTTCAAAATGTAACAAAAAATCTGTATCTGTTGTTCGTGAGGATAATAAACCAAACGTGTGTTCCAGGTAAGGAGGAGCTGCTCTCCCAGAAGGACTACGAGTCGGCCTCCCTGATGGAGATCAGAGCTCTGATGAGGAAGCACGAGGCGTTCGAGAGCGACCTCGCCGCCCACCAAGACCGCGTGGAGCAGATCGCTGCCATCGCCCAGGAGCTCAAGTAAGAGGCCGGGACTCAGAGAGAGAGAGAGAGTCACACCGGGAACTCTAGTAGTCGATTGGCCAGCTCGTAGTCCTGTTGTGAACCCAGACATGTTGAGTACCCAAAGTCTAATGTAACTGCCGGATGCTAACTTGCATACGTTGGTCAATTTGCACATTTAGCATACGTTTCATTAATCAGCATTCTAGCCCCTATGCAGATAATAGTTCAAACATGGATTGGACGGTTTTGGACTGATCCAAAATCAGCCAGAAATGGATTCAGCGTCCTCAATTACCACTAACACCGCTTCAGTGTCCGAACAATGCTCAAAATATGCAAGTTGGCATCCAGCAGTTTCTATGTGCCGGCATCCTAAACGTTTCTAACATAACACGTTGTGCTACTCGACATGTCCGGGTTCACAGTGCTACACTCGGAGGGAGATGTGTGTAAGTGTAGGAGGACAGGAGCAGGAAGCGGCTGAAGAGTTTCAGGACTTCTAATTGTGGTGTTGGGAGAGATATGTGAGAGCGGGCGAGGTGACCACAAAAGTAGAAAAGAGTGGAAAGCAGATTAATGAGGGATAAAAAGATGAAAGGGGGGAGAAACCTCTGATCTCACTTTATCCAGATTCCTCTGGGCTTCTTCCTCACAGACCGTTCGGATAGCATCTCTTTGATGTGATGCAGTGCTCGGCAACATAATGCTGAATATGTATGCGTGCCACACATCGTTACTTCTGAAGAAGATATCATGTTACTCAAAAGCAAAGTAGTTGTCCCCTGTATCGAAAGTGACCATGGCGTCCTCGTGGTCAGGTCATCGATAGTACAGGAAGATGAAGCTGGAAGCCTTTCCCGTGTTTGAAGGATTCTCCGTTCCTATCAGACCCTGGCGCTCCCACACATTTCATAATACATGCAATCAACAGGAAGTGGTGTCATTACAGAACAGCTGATATTTTTCTGTTTTAGTTAGACGAGTCAGTGGAGTATGACATATTTTAACAAAGGGAGTACAAGTCGTCCAAATGTAGGTTTCTCCGTCTATAAATCCCACATTTAATTCGGACAAAGACCAACGTTTGAGCAGCTGAATCCAGGGCGAGATTGGGTGCTGGTTAAAACTATACATCGATTATAAACATGGTATAAGATTAGGTTTTCTGTAAGGTACATGGAGAGATTAAAGTGAAGCAAGATAGTTCTCAGATGACCCCTCAATTTCAGAATCTGGGAATAAGCCAGAACCTGTAATGGCACGAAGTATTCAAATGTTAGTTACAGCTACTTGGGAGTGTTGCTTCGGGAACTATTTTGTCTTTAAGAAGTGGCAGATGTTATAGATATTTATAAAACGCAACAAAGAAGATATTTTGTTTGTAAATCAACTTCTAAATTTGTCCTTCCTTTTTATCTCTCCTGATAATTAAAACAAAATCTCACAGTAAGTCAGAGTTTGGAATATGAAGTGCCTTTTTATATTGGTTACATTAACAGTCATTCATGCTGAGAAAATGAATCGAAGGAACTGGACTATTCTAAATATTCTGTACGTTAGATTGAAACTTTGATAGTCTATGTGAAATAAGTATTTGTTATAGATGATTACTAATGCTGTGTGTGTCCTGCAGCGAGCTGGATTACCACGATGCCGCCTCAGTGAACGCTCGCTGCCAGGGCATCTGTGACCAGTGGGACAACCTGGGCACCCTGACCCAGAAGAGAAGGGACGCACTGGAGGTACAGCCCCACACAATGATATATCAACACCCAGATCATTCATCAAATAACAGCTATTCACTTTAATAGATGTCCACACCTGTTATCTTGTTAATGACGGTCTCCTTTTGTGTGTGTGTAGCGTGTGGAGAAGCTGTGGGAGACCATCGACCAGCTGTACCTGGAGTTCGCCAAGAGGGCGGCGCCTTTCAACAACTGGATGGACGGAGCCATGGAGGACCTGCAGGACATGTTCATCGTCCACAGCATCGAGGAGATCCAGGTACGATACATCCTTGATGTTGATTAGACCATGATAGGTAGCTGACGCTGACTGTTGTCCTAGAGAACGTTCAAATATACAGATTGAAGTCAGTCAATAACCTTTAGAGTTTGAATTGTGTGATATGTATTTTGAGGTAAAAGCAACACATGCTGTCCTCTGTAACTAAAGTGTATTTTTATATATAACAGTGTATCCCGTATTTATAATTAACTTAAATTCAAATGTCTGTAATTGGGAAAACAATTTAGGCTTAGTATTTCCTTCAGGCAGAAGCTGCACATGAATGCAGCTTCACACTGATAAATGAATGTTTCCCTGGGTAAGTAAAACCCTGACTGTGACCCCCCCCCCCCCCAGAGTCTGATCACCGCTCACGACCAGTTCAAAGCCACTCTGCCCGAGGCCGACAAGGAGCGCATGGCCACCATGGGGATCCACAACGAGATCCTGAAGATCGCCCAGACCTACGGCATCAAGCTGTCCGGAATCAACCCCTACACCAACCTCTCCCCCCAGGACATCAGCTCCAAGTGGGACGCGGTGAGTCACATCAAACACACCCAAGAGTCTCCGTAGGAAATCTAACATTAACTTTATTATGAATCAGTTAAAGTTTACGTTGTGTCAACCGAGCCTGGATCGCTCTGTGTGCAGCATTTGGTCATCTGGCTCATAAGTTCAGTGCACGCACAACAACAGCTCAGAAATAGTACATTTAAGATACACACTGAATACTGCAGGCTTAAAGCTTCTATCAAAAACCTAACTAATTGCGTATCAAGCTGATACTGGTACTCAGCTTCCACTAACTTAGTTTTAGCTAAAAAGTGGACCTCATATTCCAGTACCACAGGGTTACAGTGGTTGCACGTTTTTAGCACTAAAAACTCAATATATTGGTCTAATCTCTTTTGCTGTTAAAAGAAGCGTTTGTGACGTTGGTGCGTTTGATTTCTCCGCCTGCAGGTGAAGCACCTGGTTCCCCTCAGAGACCAAATGCTCCAGGAGGAGGTGGCCAGGCAGCAGGCCAACGAGAGGCTGAGGCGCCAGTTCGCCGCCCAGGCCAACATCATCGGGCCCTGGATCCAAACCAAGATGGAGGTACAGTGACACTACACTTTAACTTGAGAATATACAAGAAAGGCAGATTAATAAAGATGTTTTTATTATAGGGCATTGACAACTGTGGACATTTTCCAATATAATGTTCACCATGGTAGAAAAGTAGTAATATAAGTTTGAAAAGGCAATACAGACAAATGTAAACAGTGTTTGGAGTTGCATAACAAATAGATCTACCCATAGACACCTGCAGAACATGAATACATTTGAACCCCCTGCAGGAGATCAGCCACGTGTCTGTGGACATCGCGGGCTCCCTGGAGGAACAGATGAACAGCCTGAAGCAGTACGAGGGGAACATCATCAACTACAAATCCAACATCGACAAGCTGGAGGGAGACCACCAGCTGAGCCAGGAGTCCCTCATCTTCGACAACAAGCACACCAACTACACCATGGAGGTAAACTGCTGCCATGACGACCAGCGACATCACACCCTCCACCTGTTTTACCCCTTTATTAAAGTCCTGTCTTCTCTCCTCCTGCTCAGCATGTGCGTGTGGGCTGGGAACAGCTGCTCACCACCATCGCCAGAACCATCAACGAGGTGGAGAACCAGATCCTGACCCGCGACGCCAAGGGCATCAGCCAGGAGCAGCTCAACGAGTTCAGGGCCTCCTTCAACCACTTCGACAGGGTGACGCTTCATTAACACAGTCATACTAACAATGTGTGAGATATTATCTAAACTAATACTTTGTGTCTCTTGCAGAAGAGAAACGGCATGATGGATCCAGACGACTTCCGTGCCTGCCTCATCTCCATGGGTTACGATCTGGTGAGTACAGCATGTCTCAGACCTTTGACCTGAGATCACTAAAAGTGATATGAGTTATGAACTGGTGCACTGCTGCTGCTCTCTGACAGGGTGAGGTGGAGTTTGCTCGCATCATGACTCTGGTGGACCCCAACAACACGGGCGTGGTGACCTTCCAGGCCTTCATCGACTTCATGACCCGCGAGACCGCTGAGACCGACACCGCAGAACAGGTCATGGCCTCCTTCAAGATCCTGGCCTCAGACAAGGTAAGCACACACAGCAGACTGTTAGCTTAGCCACAACATGCTACACATAGGCAGTTTAAATCTAGTCTAGTTGAATACCCAAATGTTTTGTTAGAAATGTATAGAAAGGGTCCCGAGCAATTAGAAACTGCCGGATGCTAACTTGCACAAGTTGTGTTTCTTAGCCTATGTGGACAACAATAAACCCAACATGCAAGTTAGCATGGGGCAGTTTCTATGTGCTGAGGACCCGTACATCTCTAACAAAACGTTAGGGTACTCAACACTGCCATCTCCACTTCAATATATATATAATAGACTCTGTCTGTGCATTATAATAACTCCCTCTTTCCCTCTCTCCCCCCACAGAACTACATCACGGTGGACGAGCTGCGCAGGGAGCTGCCCCCAGATCAGGCCGAGTACTGCATCAGCCGCATGACCAGGTACATCGGGGGAGACGGCGCCACCGGAGCCCTGGACTACATCTCCTTCTCCAGCGCCCTCTACGGGGAGAGCGACTTATAAAACTCCTCCTCACCCCTTCTTCCCAGCTATCTCTCCTGTGTGGAGAGAGCCATTTAAACCCCCTACCACCGTCCCTCCTCTTTCAAATCTTAACTTTCTTCCCCTTCCCCCCCACCCCTTCCTCCACACCCAAGAACACTGCCCCGAGAGGGGGAGAGTGGAAGGCTTTGCTCAGATCTTAGAAGCTGTTTGGACTGGCCAGCTCCACCCTGTCAGAGTGCGGGTATTGCACTGATTATGTAAGAAGCGTACATATGACCATACCTGCCTTTAGGACACGTAACAGACGGTAAGGATTAAAGAGCTGTTACTTTGAGCAAAGCCTCCTGCTCTCCCCGCTCTCTCTCAGATGACATATTTTTTGTAGAAGGGTAATTAAAGAAGAAATCGTGATTCAAAAAACAAGCTGGTTGGTTGTGTATTGTGCATGCAATGTTGACGTTTAGAAACGCTGTCTGTGTGAAACTCACCTTCATCAGGAGCCTGAAACAGAGGTCACAAAGTCAGTCTCATGAAAACACAGAGAGGAAACTGCTGACCTGAGGAGTTAAGGTCAGCAGGGAGGGGATGGGCCCAGGATTCAGAGAGCAAAGCACTGTGGGTAATATAGACAGGGAAGGGGACTGACTTAAGAATGAAGACAGATCGATCCCACAAACCTCTCTCAAAATATAGTGGAGGGGGGGGGCACGGAGAGGTGTGGGGAAGTGAAGGACATGAGAAGGAGAATCTAAAGTGTATGTGGAGCCAATAGGGTTTGTTTCCATTGAGAGGCTGCTCTGTATGTATCACGGAGATCATTTCACCTGTGCTCCATTCTCCTCCCTAACCCATCCATAGAAACTCACCTACACACTTTAAATTAAAACTACTCAACTTGGAATAAAAAAGAACAATTATATTACTAAAGTGCAGTTGTGTTGTTTTTTCACACTAACTAATATATAGGAATAATGATCTGCTAAAGGAACTATACTAAGTTAAAGATAATACACCTGTCCTACCTTGAGTACGTAGTCACATGTCGGGGTCCCAGCAGAGGTGGGGGGGGAAGTCCAGGCCTCTCTCCTTGGTGAAGCGAATCCAGCGCTCCTCGTCCCCGCAGTGCGTCAGATACCTGCAGCCCATCGTCTGCTCAAAGGCACGCAGGTCACACCACAGCTGGAAGTCCTGCAGGAGGGCGGGACATGAAGGGAAACACAATATTAGACCAATCACAGGTCAAATGTGATATAGTTAAATGACATCAATCAATCTAAAAAGCAGTCATACACTTGTCTAACAGAAGGAGGGGTATTCATGAACACTATAGCAAGGTGATGATTATTTCTACAGAACAATGAGCTGATGGAGCAGCTTCCTCACAAAACTAATCTCCTTATAATCCTGCTCATATCAGACTATACATATAGGTTACCTGCAGCCAGGGGTGTCCCAGAGCCTTGCCCACACTGAACCTGCGTCTGACCGACACCTGCAGCAGGTTGTTGATCAGACTCACCGCTGGAGAGAGAGAGAGAGACGCGATTTAATCAACCCGTGGATTAAAATCTGACCACTGCTGCCACCCAGTGGACAACAGGAATATTACATGTGATCTAGTGTGCATAACATTAGCTATTTTGTTCCCAATGATAAAGACATTGAGAGGGAAAACAAAAGCATACAGCTGAATATATACGTCTTGCATTCAAGGACCCAGAAATCTAAATTGCATTAATGAGCTATCGGTCAGAAAAAACAAACCTTGGGAAAATAATATCAATTGACTTCCTGCATTAAAGACATTGGTTAACCGACTATAAGTCTAACATCCCTGTCCTTAAAGAAGAAATACTCATAATACAAAATAAAGTCGACCCACCCTCCAATGAGATGGAGGTCCAGGGTTGCCGTGGATACATGAATGCTGCGTTGGTGATCTGCTGGCGGATGTCCTCGTCCTCGTTGAAGGGGAAGGTGCCGCTCAGGCTCACGTACGTGATGACGCCCACAGACCACATGTCCAGAGAGCGGTTGTACCCGCTGCTGCTGATCACCTCCGGGGCGAGGTAGGCCGGCGTTCCCACCACCGAGCGGCGGAACGACTTCTCTCCGATGATCCGGGCGAAGCCGAAGTCACACAGCTTCACCTGAAACACACACAGAGAGAGAGAGAGAGGATGAGACGAGATGGAGAGACGAGGCAGTCTGAAACACTGAAGAAAGCAGTCAGGAAGTGGCACCTGAGGGAAGGGGTCTGCAGAGGCAAGCAGCACGTTCTCTGGTTTCAGGTCGCAGTGAGCGATGTGTTTGAGGTGCAGATACCGCAGAGCCTCCAGGATCTGAAAAACACACACATACTTTTTATTAAACATCTAATGACCTCTCTAAACAATTGTTTAACCCCATCAGGGAAACAGCTGTCTTTAAAGATACCACAAATGAATATGATTCTAAAAACACCTCCATGTATAGATGGGTGATGGTTGTTACCTGGGTGACGAGGAAGCGGGTGTTGCGTTCAGGGAGCCGGCCTCTCTCACTGGACAGGATCATCTCCAGCATGTCTCCATGGAGCTTCTCCATGACCACAAACACGTACTCCACTGTCTGGAACATCCCCTCCAGCAGGACCACGCCCAGGTGGGACAGTTTCTGGACACACACACACACACACACACACACACTAGATGACACTGCAGATGATGTGATGATGACCTCAGAGTGCAGCAGCAGCCTCAGTACCTGCAGGATGGCCACCTCGTTCATCAGCTGCGTCTCCTGTTTGGTGGGGAAACGCGCCTTGTCGATGACTTTGATGGCGACCAGCCGACCCGACTTCCTGTGAGTGCCTGAGGAGGGAGAAATAGGTCACTGATATAACTTTTAATCGGGTTTAAAATAAGTCTTCCATGGAAATCATTCTGGAAAACAATAACTATTACATTTTTCTCTTGTTAGTCAAAATTACACAGATTTTAGCAGAAAAAAGGGG